CACCCAAGAGCAGCAGTTTTCTCTCCGAAAAAAATCCCAAGCAGCTTTTTTCACTGTCTGCTCTGTTTAACAATGTTCCTCCTCACTGGCTCATGTCTATTGTCCTCGCCACAAAGCTGAGATACTATTTTTCTGATATCACAACACGCATATACAAATAGAGAATTCAAAAGTAACCCACCTAAACCTCCTTCAAATATACTGATACTGATATACAATCGTACAGATATAATTACGGACACAGCGGCATTTTTCATGAGCGAATGCAGCGTACCATATTGATGTAAATAATAATCATTATACCACCATCAGTCGGCGATATCTAATTATTACTTTGCCCTCTACCTTTTACCGATTTTTACAGTATACGAAGGGCATTTTAAAGTCTCAAAAAGTGTTTAAAGTAAAACGCTGAGAGACGCACCTTCGGAGTTGCAACTTTTTCAAAGACATCTGACTGTAATCCATGTCCTCGCCGCTGAGGAGTTGATCCAGCAGATAGTGAAAAGGCCGCAGTATAACTGCATCCATATCAGCGGTGTCTGTGTCCTTGCCGGCAGGTTCGGTGTTTAAAAGTCTCCGGTGGAGCTCCTGAATACTGTCAAGCTGCCGGCGAAGCGGCTTGTCACCGCTACGCATTAGGAAATTGACCAGCTCGGCTGCCTTGAAGAGACTGACAAAGGTCAACTAGACGGAAAGACAGAAGAAGTAGTCTAGCGTTCATATATCCGCTAAATTGAGAAGTACAGTGGCTATGCCCAAACTCATGTAATCCAAGTATTTCTACTAAAACAAATTCCCTGGTACACAACAGCAGCAGTCCAAGCTGCGTCCCCCAAAGTCTTACAACAGTAAAGTAAACATTGTAATAAAAGCAGACATGTTGTGGTTTATCAAGTTATATTACCTTGTTTTGAAATATCAGTTATAAAGAAGAAGACGCAATCTCTGGGACGGCAATTTTATTCCTCTGAGCTTTCCGATAAGATGGCGTGAGCATGGAGCAATCACAAGTGCCGCCCTCCTGCCCTCCGCATTTACACGTAGCCAACGTTTGCTGCCTTCTCATTTTCTCCGACGATGACTTCTCGTGTGGAGCCGAAAGCTTAGAAGAATAAAATTGCCGTTCCAGAGATCGGGTCTTCTTCTTCGTCTTCTTTACAACAAGAACCTGGGGCACGCATAGTTGCTTCTATATCCGCTATTTTAGTGTTGGGAATGTGCCTACTCCCACGATTACTCATCTACAGAAAAACCTGCGAGTGCAAATCATGGCGCTGTCACGAGAGCGCGCCGTGACTATCGACTTTTCCTCATAGCGGATTGGCCCATTGTCTCGGCTTTGTCTCTCGCGTTTCCCCTAAAATGTACGCAGCCGAATTGTGAGCGACTTGCGCTGACTTACTGTAAAGTGCTTGGTCTGACTACACACGCCCTCTCTGGTCGCCTGGTCTTTTCTCTGTCTGCCTCTCTTATGGGCTCTTGGAAACCGTCCGTGCTGATTAGGAGTACCAGGCGCGGGTCCAACAATTGGCGACGCAGCTTTTTGACCCTACGATGGAAGACTTGTGCGCTGAGTTAAAGCTAGTGTTGCAGCAGCAGCTGAAGCTGATGGAAACTCTCACCGCCAAAAAATGAGTGAAGAAAGCTGCCATAAGTAGAAGTACGTTTGAAAATTATCCTTCGTTAAAGACTTTAGACGATGTAGGCTTCCATACTATGCGCAGTGTAAAGTACGGCTGTTACTAAACAATCCCAAGTTCGAATATGTGATCCAACGAGAATTGTAAATTGTTTCTTGGTCGTGCAAGTTGTTTGAGATAGGTTGGACTAAGATAACTAGATTTTCACCGGTTGGGACGTCACAGGAATAAGATATTTCATAAGAGCACAGGTGGACCTGCCGATCAATGAGTAGTAAAATTTAAATGAATTTATCAGGTATAATCGTAAACTACTACTTTGTGTTCATTAAGAGGGAGTTCCTTCCGCCACATTTCTTCATACCTATTTCGGGAGTTTGATTTCGACGAGCGTTGGCTCACGAGAAGGCAACGCGTTTGATCATTATTATTATTATGAAGTGGTGCGTGAAGGTACTGGACGGTGAAGTAACGCTGACAATTCGATCGTAGCTAAAATGATGGCGGATGGCGCGGAATTTAGCACATCCACTGTGATTCCACAGGCAAAAACATTTCAAGAAAACACGAGGTGGACTCTGGCGGTATAAACATATAGCGAAGTAAACAGACCGCAAAAGGCATGGTACTTACGAAGGATGTGACATTGCTGAAACCTGGCGCTCGGGCACTGGGGGAAAGCAGGTGGAGAGAATAAAGACAATGAGGCAAATGTTTATTTGTAATAAATAAAATAAATATATCATTTAAGTTAGCGCTTATAAGGCTGCTCTTGCACGGAGTGTGGCTCAGCTAACTTTATCGGTTGGTGACACCACAACTTACGGGCCGGGAGAACCCCGGGTTTCGAACCCTATCTCTGCGACTAACGACCCCGCCGACCACGACCGAGAATGTAACCTCGCACGGAATTAGAGTTCAGCGACCCATCCTGACCGCAAGCCGGTGTACGAACGCTTCCATCTGCAGTAGATCTCCAAACGACAACTACTGAGCAGCCAGTAGGGGAGAAGAACGGTGAGCAAATCACAAGCGCCAAAGCCATCTTTATCAATCCACGTTGCCTCTTTTGTCCACGCATGCATTATTGGGCCGCAAGTGAGCACTTCCACTCTTGACACGCACACACGCCAGAGACGCGCCGTACATACATTGGTACTTGCACTTGTTTCGGCTGTGATCATGCCGGCCTCAATGATGTCACGCGTAACAATACCTCTCCACGCGCAGAGAC